ATCGAGAAGAACTCCGCAAAGAACTTGTTTGATAAATTCTCCCATGAGGGAATACTTCTCGCAGGTTGCCTCTTCAACCAATTCAAAGCTTTTTCTTTAAGAGCAAAAGGAAACAGTCTCAGCCGGACTGCATCATTGGACACTTGAGGATGTTTAGTCGAGTCACAGATCATCAGGAATCTGTTTATGAACCTATGAGGGTCTTCATCATCCTCTCCACTAAACTGAGCTCTCTCCACTAGTCGAATATTATCAAACTTGAGCTCCCAATTATTGTTGCCAACTTCAGGATGGACAATACTTGAATTGGGCCTGTTAAATAGTGGCGTCAGAATGGTGTCCATGAGTGGATTGTCCGCTTCATTATTCCCTGCCATCTTGTGTGCTTTTTCAGACAAAATTCCTAACTCATTGAATGCAAGCTTTTTTTGAGCAAGTTTCCTGTTTCTCTTTTCTGTTTTTGCAATCTCCAAGTCAAGTGGAAATTCCGGCTTTTTACCTCGCATATAACTCAGAAAAGGGATTAGTAGCACTGTTCAAGAATCATAGAGAAATCAAAATTAAAAATAAAATAAAAATCCAATCTTAAAAATCAAAATTAATTGATAAAAGATACGCCAATCCCCGGTAACGGCGCCAAAAACTTGATGCTCACCGGCAAGTACACCGATCGCACAAGTAATTTAATGATAAGAAAAGTTCGTCTCCACAGGGATTGTGATCGTATATCAATTAATAGTCCTTTCAAGAATGGAGGAGTTCAAATAGTTTGTGACAAATATTGTCGTGGATTTGAGAATAATAAGAATTAAAAGTAAAACGTATTTTTGAATTTTTGTTTATGAGAAAAACAACAGAGATGGATTTTTGTAAGAATAATAAAAGGCATTGCAGCTAAGGTACATGCACCATATGATCCTCACTTTAAACTTTGGATTGATTGACAACGTTCATTCAATTTAATAACTCAGACAAATTATCATCTTAAATAATTAGTTAAATCCCAATCCCTTGGCAATCTAACCCTTTAATTCAATTGGAATCCTAATCCCTTAGCAACCCCGCATGAAATTAAGCATTAATCACGATAAATCAAACGACTACAACTCACACAAGTCTATCCCTAGAGCATGCATAAATTGTTACCTTACCCCCTTTCAGAATCAAAAACCCCAATATTCCTATTGCGAGCCCTAATTCCCAAATTATTATCTCCTATTAGGTTGATCAAGTCTAACAGAAATAATATCAATATGCACAGGGTAAAAATAAAATATATTAAAATAAACGGGCGAAAATAATCAATCCAGCGTAAAAAGGGTTCACATAGGGTTTGTGACCCTAACTACAATAAAAGAAATTAGCCAGCCATAGACATGGCTGACATAAAATTATAAAAGATAAAGATGAAAGAATGTAATTACAATGAGAAACTAAGAACAATCCTCTGCTCTTATCCTCCTTTACGAATCCTTGTTATGCTCCGTCGTCAAAAGTCCCTCCTAAAGAACCCTCGCAGCGTCCTTTTAAGTTCGAAATTGCCTCCACGCTGAATTCCGCGCGGGTAGCGCCATTCTGGCGCGGGTCTAGCGCCATTTTTTTTGCACTGGGTCGATTTCTCGCGCGGGTAGCGCTATTGTGGCGCGGGTCTTGCGCCAAATCCCTGGTCTCTGTATTTTTCCGGCGCTGCAACAACACCAAAGTGGCGCGGGTAGCGCCACTTTGCTTTTTCAATTTTTCTCAATTTTCCTATTTCTTCTTGCTTTAACCTGCAAAAATGATATAAAAGATGAAAAATAAACTGAAATAGGAAAACTAACTAATAAAAGTAATTAATATACAAGAAATGCTATTTTATGACTGATTTCTTATTATTTTTGGCTTGGAAAACATCACATGCCAGAGGCACATCAATGAGCCCAATTAATATGCGTATAGTGACTTATTTGAGACCAAAATGGTGTCTGTTCTTCACCTGTATCAGCACACATTAATGTATATGAATCAACATCTGCTATGTATAAAACTTAAAATAAAAAGTAATTTTTTCGACTTACTAACCTGCCACTCTGGGCTCGTGCGTTCCAACAATGCCCGGAGAAGGAACCACGTAACACCCAGATGGGAAGGACATGAATCAAAATCTCCATGCACGTCGGTGTCCGAGGAGTCACTGCCCGAGACTAAGCCTTCATCCACCTCTACGTCGGAACTGTCAGTACGCCATGTCAGATCATACATATCGTGAGCAACAACATATTTTGAACATATTGGTGCAGGAAGAGGTGATTGGGGTGACATATTTCTGTCTTCAGGACTCACAACTGACTCCATGTTAATGTCGATTGCAAGCATTGGAGGGGGAGAATGTTGAGGACTCACAACTGGCTCCATATTAATGTCGATAGAGTGAGTGGAAAGGAGAAAATGTTGACTGTTACACTGTCCACCGGAGTCTACTTCCGCGTATAGTTCAATAAATGTGGAGTGTGGATGATTTCGAAATGCATCTACCACTAAAGGGACATCTTCATCCTCAACAATCTCTACAGGAACCCAACTTTCAGGTCCTGAGGCACATCTAGTAGTCAACCAAGATAGAAATTGCCCTCGTTGTAATCTCAGCTTCTGATATATTGTCTTCTGTAGTTCATTAAAACTACACCGCGGGCTCATACGAAATACTTTCATTTCTCCTTCGAAAACTTGGCCATTTGGATCCAAATATTTTCTCTCATTGTAATGTAACAGAGCAATTACTGAATCATTATTGTCACTCATTTTTAAACTAATAACATAAAATTACAAGAGAAATAAATAGTTACAGAATCTAACCTGAATTAGCAATTTTGGCTTACCGACTATTTTTTCCCCTTCTGGTTGCTAGAATGTGGACGTTTTGTTACTATATATAGAAGAATCAATCTTGGTAGGCTGCCCAGCGAGACTGCTGACACGTGGGCTAATCTGAATAAATCACGCCCAGCAGCCCAGCACGAATAGGGGGGTGCTGACACGTGTCAACAAAGTACAGACCATACCTGGTCAGCTACCCAACGCGAATGGCAGGGAGCTGACACGTGTCTGCAAATACAACCAATCTCGCTGGGCAGTTCAGCGAGAATGGCCAGCGTTCCTGAGGTGTCACCACAATGAAACTTCTAAACTTACTTTGATGCTGTAAGTACTGCTGAAGAACAGGTGAATTTCACTGACAATGATCAATCATCAAACACTCACCCCCTTACAATCAAACAAACACTTCCATTCCCATTCATACCGTAGCACAACCCCACACACTCATACTCATCCCCAAGTCAACAAAAAGGGGCAAGGAACAAATCCAAAATGAGCAAAAAGGACAAAAAGAAAGAAAACAAACAGCTTTTCAGAAGCTGCAATGTGCGTGATTGACAACCCATTCTCGCTTGTCAGATCAGCAGGAATGGGGTACCCTGGTAGCCTGCCACGTGTCCCGTTCCAATCTCGCTTAGTGGTGTGGCGAGATTGTGACGTGGCATTTTGGAAAATTTCTATTGCAGCGTGGCATATTGGTAATATTTTATTAAAGGTGTGTTAGTTTGGTCAATGTCCCCCACCCTTCACTTTCAAACAAAATGATTAACCCCTTCCCGCTATGAAATAACAACAATTAAACATATTTCATAATTTTGAGATAAAAATACCCTTCTTCTCTCCCCAACACTAGCCCTCTTATCCATCGACACAGTCTTCTCACTCCAGCATCGTAGTACAACTTAGCTATGGACCTCATGCCTAGGTGGGTTAACGTGGTATAGCTAGAAATCATGGAGTAGCAAGGAACATACTTCTTCGAGACAAAACAATTTATCTCAAAAACCCAAATTTCAGAGTTGGGTTTTCTTTGAATAAACTTTTGGGAGCCGACCTTATTTTTTAAAAAACGAAATACCTCGATGAGGATATGAACCATAATTTGAGAGAGGGGGGAGTACAAAGAAAATGTGTTAGATGGGTCATGGGGAGACCAATCTCCCATTCTAAAACCTGTTGTGCTCTCCATCATAGTGGCTCATCTTCACCTTCTCCTCATTCATGTTGCAACTGCATAAACTATATTAAGTGTTGCTCTTTCTTTCTCTCTCCTCTAGATATCCAAAATTTTGGAAATAGATATCTTAAACGATTTAGGTATTGGATTTGGATAAAAAGAGAGAGGAACAAATGAATAAACGAGAAACAAAATTAAATTGACAAAGACCAGCATGAAAGATAAAATGTTGGACGAAAATATGAAAACAAAACACAATCTCTTATGATGAAAGTGACCACCGGCGATGGCCAGCAATGACAGGTGACAGATAATGGTAGGTGACAACGATAGCGATTGATGGCTGCAAAATGTGGCCAGAGATAACAGGTGATGTTGGATGAGAAAAAGGGTATGTCTATCTCAAAATCATGAAATATGTTTAATTGTTGTTATTTCATAGTGGGATCGGGTTAATTGTTTTGTTTGAAAGTGTGAGGTGGTCTTTTGAAAAATACCCGTGGTTTTACGTAATTTGCCCAATAATTTAAGTTGAAACAATAATATAAGTAATAAGTATCAAATTATATAATCAATATGGACGAAATTGATTTTTTTTTTTAGAAAATAAAAAGTCGAGGGAATTTAAAGGGATAAGTTATTTTTTTTTATGTCTATCTTCTTAACATTCTTTAAAACTGTTATATCAGAATCTCAACTAACTTTTATTATTTTTCTTTTCTTTTAAGATTTCGATCTAACAATATTAAAAATTAATAGAAAAATAGGCATAAAAAATAAATAGATAAAATATCTTATCTCAAATTTAAATATGAAATTAGGGGGATTAGTTGTAATTTTCCCCTTCAATATTATTTGCAAATAAGATTACTCTTTAGCTCAAGAACCCTTTAACGTGACCGTTTTTTTATTTTTATTTTTGGGATATAAACGTGACGTTTTCTGAACCCCTTCATTCCAACACAGCGATTCACGGCGATCCAAATCTCTCTTAAAGGAATAGCGACAACCTGTATCCAAAAAAAAAAGGAATAGCGACGACCATCATAATCTAGAACATGGCCACTGAAAGATATGCTTCTCCAACAGCCACATCGCCCGAGGAGAACGCTCTGTGAGTAAAAAAAAACTCCAAATTTTGGTTTACACTTTGTTCTGTTCGGTTCTGATTTACCCTCTGAACATCCATTTCTGTTATGCTGTTAATGCATTGGTCATGCATGCATAATCGAGCTTCTGTTTGTGTGTGTGTGTGTTTTTTTTTTTTTATTCTTAATGCTGATGTTTCGTGTTTGTGCCACTGTAGCTTTCTTGATATACTGCATGAGGCTCCACTGTTTGCACACCGCAAAGCTGCAAGGGTTGTTGGGAGTGTTTTCTATTGCATACTATTGGCAAGTTCAAATTTTTTCATCATTTCAATTAATGGGTCGATGGCTGATTTGGCAAATTGTGATGATTTTGATTGAATTGAGAGTTGGTTGTGTTATGTTGGCTTAGATTTTGGTGTGAATTGCTTATTGTTTCTTCCATTTTAGGCAGGTTATGCTACTTTGGCTATAGGTGCTCAATGGATATTTCGTCCTGTACAAGACTTGATCTCTCCTGTGCTTTGTAGTTGCGATGTTCTTCTTTTGCTATTAACAGGTTTGGCATTGGAACTACCCTGAATTAGGTTTTCTTAATTCTTATTTCTTGATGAGCGTATTTTCTGATTGGTGCACTGTGTGTAGCATTTAGTTGCGGATGTAGTGCATATTAATCCTGGAATGTCTTTTTGCATGGGTCTTTAATTCTTTTTGTTTGTTTAAAATGTCTTTCTTTTCTTATTGTTCCCATTTCATTTCACTGCTTTTGTCTCCACTGAGATCTTCAGAAGAAATCATGCGATATGACAGGCTACAGTTTATTGAATTTGGCTTAGGGTAACAGTTTAACCCTTTCCGTGCATTGCTGCTGTTTTGTTCTTGAAGGAACTTTTGCTGTTGGCAAAATGTTTACAAATTTCAAAGAGCTGTTCCATTTTGAAACATTAAATTGAAATATGTTTCTCGCAATGCCACTGCTTTTTAGTTCAATGTGCCTTGCAAAGATTCTTCCTTTTTTTTTTTTTTTTTCAAGATCTCAGAAAACTAGTTTGCTGCGTGCAATTAGTAATGATGTTTTCTGATCTTCAATTTTCTCCATTTTAAATGTGATAGAAGAACCCTTGTATCATTGTATCATCAGAGAATGGTGATGGAACAGTCTAGCAAATCAGAGTCCTGATGCATCCTCGTCCCCCCAAAATTTTGAAACCCTATATGTATCTTTGGTCTTCATTTGGCATAATTTGTATTCTAATTTGATTTTGATAGAAATAAGTAATTGTTCCTCGTTGCTAGTAAAGTAGTTTGCTAATATTATTACTTTTATATTGGAAAACTTTTCACAGATACAGTTATTATTAAGTATTAATACATTAATACAGATTCACTTATTCAATTGTTCTTCTTTACTAGTAGGGGAGTAAGTAAATTTTTCTTATGATTGATATATATCCTTTGAACTCAAATTTCCTTATTACATTGATGTGGCTACTGGCTATTTGTAATTAGCTTTTTCTAAGGATTGATTTTATAAAAAAAAAACCACTCCCCATTAAACCCCGACTAATGAAGGTGGGGTGAGGACAATTCTTGTACGCAGTCTTACTCTTGCATAATTGTAAAGAGGTTGTTTCCCGGATTCGAACCCGTGGTCTTTCAGTCACAAAGGAACAACTTTACCACTGCTCTAGACTCGCCCTCTTTTAAGGATTGAATATATATATATATATATATATATATATATATATATATATATATATTTCAGGTTTATGGAAGTTGTATTTTTATTTTCAAAATATGATTGTGCATGTCAAACATAAAACACCTTATGCATTTTTTAAGAGAGCAGTTATTGATAAGGAGAAAATGATATAAATTCACGATTATTTTTCACATAGCTATTTTGTGCAAGAACTGAACGGGAGGTTGAAGAACCTTCCTCCAAGTTTAGGTAAGAGTGGTACCTAATGAATTTGATGACTAGTTCCTTAGAAGACGTCATGGAAAAGTGGAAACAAATAGGAGAGTATATGATACACGTAGGGCGTCTAAGAGAGTGAGGCAACACTCTGTATTACTCAAAGACTTTGTTGCTTGAGGAATAAAGTTAGTTGGTTAACCGGTTGAGTTAGTTAATTAGTTTGGTTGGTTAACGGTTAGTGAGTTAGTGAGTTAGTTAATACTGTTGTATAAATACTTACATGAGGTACTGAGATCATTACTTGAAAATAATACAAATTCTCGATTTCTTTTAGTTCTTATTCTTTGGTTCTTGTCCTCTGTTAGGTTAATCCTAACAATTGGTGCTTTCATCCCTTGAATTCATTATGCGTCTGCAAGAGTTAGCAGAGGAGTTTTCTACATTGCAAGGTCGTGTTGATTGCGACAGGGAGGAGAATGCTGCTTTTCAAGGTCGTGTGGAGCAACGTTTCGTTGAAATTCGATCTGAAAATCAGGTTCAGTTTGCGAATTTAACAGCACAACTTCAACAATTGCATGAGGCGATTCTTGGACGGGAAGATCGATTTCGCAACCCTCCGCATGGTTCTCATATGGGAACCACATCTTCTTCTCCGTTCAACCGTACAGATTTGGATTCCAGGAACCTAACCAAGGCAATTCGGTTAGAGATTCCAATTTTCAGTGGCTTAGATCCAAATAATTGGATATTTCGTACGGAGTTATTCTTTGTTCTTCAACAGGTTCCAGAAGACTTCAAGGTACCCGTAGCTGGATTGTGAATGGAAGGAATGGCTGCAGCTTGGTATCTATGGATGTATAGTAATGGTTTAATCCGTTCGTGGGAGAATTTGACCAAGGCTCTTCGTGAGCGATTTGGAGCTTCGTCTTATACCAATTTGAAGGGAGTGTTATCCAAATTAACACAAACTTCTACCTTACGCGATTATATCCAGCAGTTCGAGGTATTGATCAACCAAGTACCTGGGTTGGATGATGATTTGTATATGAGTTTTTTCATATCTGGTTTGCAAAGTGAACTTAAGAGTGCAATGCAACTTCGTTTACCTGTTAATTTGCATCAAGCAATGCAATATGCTCTCGCATACGATGATCACCACATGGAGCTTAGGAATTCTTTTTATTCCAGTAATAAGAGGTTTCCTTTGAAGATTTCAGCCTCAAATACTGATGGCACAGTGGCACCTTCTCACAACCAGATTACCACTGCCCCTACTCCTTCGGTACTTCAACTGGGCTCCTCCAATTCGAGGTTAGCATTACCTGCTCCTCCAGCCATGAAAAAGTACTCACATGTAGATTTGCATAAGAAACGGGAACTGGGAATTTGTTATTACTGTGATGACAAATGGACACCAAAGCATAGGTGTAAGAACAAATTGATGCTAATGGTTGGTGAATTCTCTGATTCACCTGAAGATGCTGTCGAGGAAGAGGAGATACTTTGGCAAGCTGAAGCCTTACCAAAGGACACACAAGATGGTGCATTGCATACACTGGCTGATAGATCAGGTACAAACTCCTTGATGTTTTCCTCTGTCATTAAGCATTGTGTTGTATCTGTAATGGTGGATTCGGGCAGCACTCATAATTTCATAAGAAGACAGTTAGCTGGTGAGTTGGGTTTGCCTATTGTTCGTGCTAAGAAATTGCGTGTGTTCTTGGGCAATGGAGAGTGTTTGGTGACTGAAAGGAAGTGTCTCAGTGTTCCAATTGATTTGCAAGGACACCAGTTTCTGATTGACTTTTGGGTGATGGACTTAGTGGATCTTAGTGTTATTCTTGGAATGCCATGGTTGCAATAGTTAGGCAGGGTCACTCACGATTATATGGACCTGTCCATGGAATTCCAGTGGCAAGGACAGCAGGTGATATTGAAGGGGAATATGGATTCTAAGGAACCTGGAGTGGAATTGAATCTGTGCAAAGACAGCATCTCTCATTGCTGTGCACTAAGCGTGGGATCAACAGGTGCAGTACCTATTGAATCCGAATTGCTCAGTCTTAAGGCTAAGGTTCCAGTAGCACTTTGGCATGTTTTAGTGCAATATCAATCCATTTTTCAAGTACCTCATGAGCTTCCTCCATTTCGAGGCTTGGATCATGCTATCCATTTGAAGGACAACTCAGAACAGGTGAATGTGAAGCCTTTCAGATATGCTCACCACCATAAATCTGAGATCGAAAAACAGGTGACAGATTTGCTTTCAGCTGGGTTTATACAGCACTCTCAAAGCTCTTTTTCTTCACCAGTACTTTTAGTGCGCAAACAAGACAATACTTGGCGCATGTGTATTGATTATAGAGCATTGAATGCTATCACCATCAAGGATAGGTTTCCCATACCTACTATTGATGAGTTATTGGATGAATTGGATGGAGCTAAGGTCTTTAGTAAACTGGATTTGAGAGCAGGATATCACCAAATCCGAGTTTTGCCACAAGACATTCCAAAGACTGCATTTAGGACTCATGAAGGACACTATGAGTTCCTAGTCATGCCCTTTGGTTTGACAAACGCTCCCGCAACCTTTCAAGCTGTGATGAATCACTTGTTTAAACCTCACTTGCGCAAATTCATCATAGTTTTCTTTGATGACATCCTAGTATTCAGTAAGACAATGGAAGATCATAATCGGCATTTGAAAATTGCCTTGGAGTGTTTGCAGATGCATAGATTTTTTGTCAAGGCTTCGAAATGTTCTTTTGGAGTCACTTCTATTGAATATTTGGGTCATGTAGTTTCTGGTCAAGGGGTTCATGCAGATGTTAGGAAGGTCCAAGCTATGGTTGATTGGCCTATACCTCGAAATGTGAAACATCTTAGGGGATTTCTTGGTTTAACGGGCTACTATAGGCGATTTGTTAAGAGTTATGCTATGATAGCAAGTCCTTTAACAGATTTGTTGAAGACTTCTGCCGAATTTTGCTGGACTGATGCTGCTACACAAGCTTTCCAACATCTCAAGTATGCTATGGTCCAAATTCCAGTCCTCCATTTACCAGATTTTTCCTTGCCTTTTGTTAGTGAGACAGATGCTTCCAATACTGGAGTTGGAGCAGTGTTGTTACAAAATGAAAAACCTTTGGCTTATTTCAGCAAAAAGCTATCTTCAAGAATGGCAGCAGCCTCCACTTATGTGCGTGAGTTGTATGCAATCACAGCTGCTATAAAAAAATGGAGGCAATACTTGCTTGGCTCAATTTTTGTCATACGGACAGATCATAAAAGCCTCAAGGAGTTGCTCAATCAGACTATCCAGACTACTGAACAACAAAAATACTTGTGTAAGTTGCTTGGCTACACTTTTTCCATTGAATACAAGGCTGGAATTAATAATGTTGCAGCTGATGCCTTGTCTCGGGTACATGACACTGGCATGTTGAATGCTATGATATCAGAACCTGTATTTGATGTGTTGCAAGAGATTAAGAAGCAGAATGTTGAAGATATTTTTCTGCTGCAATGTCATGCAAGGTTGAAGAACAACTCAAACCTTGATAATCACTTGACTGAGAAGGATGGCATATTATTCCATGACCATAGATTTTTACTCAGTCCATCTTCTTCCTTGATTCCTTTGTTAATCCAGGAAGCTCACTCTACTCCAATTGGAGGGCATGCAGGGGTGCTCAGGACCTTTTTGAGGCTTTCTGCCACATTTTATTGGAACTTGATGAGACAAGATGTGAAAGACTTTGTTGGAAAATGCATAATTTGTCAACAGGTTAAATATGAAGCCTCTAAACCAAGTGGATTGCTGCAACCCCTATCCATCCCTGAGGGTATTTTCGAAGACTTGTCCATGGATTTTATTGTGGGACTTCCTCCGTCGAAGGGACACACGACCATTGTGGTAATTGTGGATAGATTATCCAAATTTTCCTACTTTGGTTCTCTTCCTCGTTCTTTCACAGCTGCTGTGGTGGCCAAGTTGTTTTGTGAACTCATAGTATATGTTCATGGTTTTCCCCTTTCCATAGTGACCGATAGAGATCCTATTTTTGTTAGTCAATTTTGGTCTCAATTGTTTAAGTTGAGCGGGACGAAATTGCATACTAGCTCAGCATACCACTCCCAATCAGATGGTCAAACTGAGGTGACCAACCGCTACTTGGAGCAATACTTGTGGTCATTCTGTCATGAGAAAACGCAGGATTGGATTGGATTGTTAGGGTGGGCTCAATTCCATTACAACACCAGCGTACATTCTAGTATTGGTATGAGTCCATTTGAGGCTGTTTTTGGCAAAAAGCCAGTACATGTACCTCCCCTGCCACAGGGATTAACTAAGGTCGAAGCAGTGGAATTCTTGTTGGGTCAGCGTGATGAAATTTTGTCTCGATTGAAGGTTCAGTTGCAGCAAGCTAGGAATCGGATGAAGATACAATGTGATAGGCATAGGAAGGACCGTTCTTTTGAAGTAGGGGAATTGGTATGGGTTAAGCTACAACCTTATAGACAGGTTTCTGTAGCAAAACGTGCGAGCCACAAGTTGGCTAAACGCTACTTTGGTCCTTATCCTGTGGAGAAGAAGTTGGGCAGTGTTGCTTACCAACTGCAGTTGCCTCCCAATTGTCTCATCCATCCCACCTTCCATGTTTCGTTGCTCAAGCCATTCAGAGGTACCTTGGATGCTCAACCTCTGCCTTTACCTGCAATTGTTGTTGCCAACAAACCTGTCCAAAATCCTTTGGCTGTTTTGTCAGTTCGGATGTCTTCAAAGGGAGGAATTCCTCAACGCCAGTTCTTGGTTCAATGGACACCAGCTTTACCCGAAGATTCAACTTGGGAGTTTGAAGATGATTTGCGCAAGTGTTATCTAGAATTGACCCTTGAGGACAAGGTTGTTCTTGAAGAGGAGGGTATTGATACACGTAGGGCGTCTAAGAGAGTGAGGCAACACTCTGTATTACTCAAAGACTTTGTTGCTTGAGGAATAAAGTTAGTTGGTTAACCGGTTGAGTTAGTTAATTAGTTTGGTTGGTTAACGGTTAGTGAGTTAGTGAGTTAGTTAATACTGTTGTATAAATACTTACATGAGGTACTGAGATCATTACTTGAAAATAATACAAGTTCTCAATTTCTTTTAGTTCTTATTCTTTGGTTCTTGTCCTCTGTTAGGTTAATCCTAACAGTATAAAATCCCCCCCCCCCCCCCCCCCCACCCAAAAAAAAATAAAAAATAGCCCAAGATCTACCACAGCTTGCTGCATATTTCACTTTGGGTCCCTTAAGGTTTTAGGAGCCTGATACAACACCACCCCTGCAAGTCTACCAAAGGAATAAGAATAGGAGGATTTGGGCCTCTAATGCTGTGGGTGGCCCAAGTAAAAAGGCTATGGGTGGCAAGGCTGATGGCACAAGTGGAGTTATGGGCGAGAATGCCCTCCAACAGAATGCGGGTGTGGAAGGAGCAAGTTAGTTATGCTAGATGGTTAAGAAGGGGTGCTGAGCACTTGGCGAAATCATCTGGAATCTTTGGGAAATATTGGGATCCTTTTGGATATTGGGAGAGAGTGAGACCTCTAGAATTGTCTCACGTTTATCCTTTAGTTTTCTGCATTTAATTTCCCTTCCAAGTTCAGTGTAATTTTCTTTGTTTCTTCAATTGCCTCTGTCAAATTGTTTCTGTTTGTAATTGTCTTAATGAATATATGGAAAACTGATTATTCAGGCCAAAATTCTCTTATTGTTTGCTATTATATCAGTATTTGATTTGTTGGTTCCTATCAGAGTCCAAATCAGATCTCTGTAGAATTCTGAAAAATTTACATGTATTAATATGATGCTGTTACTTGTTAAAGTTAATTGTCAATCTTGCCACTTTGACCTTTGTAAACCCTAAAAGAGTCCAAACTCCAGTGCAGACAATGCTTTGGAGGTTTACATTATTATTTTGTTCATAAATGCTGTAGCTAAATAAATATTAGTTTAATTTTACTAAACATTATAATTCATAAGCTTCTGCTACGTATACTTAATATTTAGTTTACACATTTTTATTGGGTTTTGATACCATATTTTACTGTTTCAGGAATCTTTCAACAATATCTGGTTTATCAAGTGCAGAAGATACGCTTGCAGGTAATTCTTTTAATGGCAATTACTTCAGCATTACAGTAGTTTCTTAATTTGTCTAGCTTTCTCACTGCCTCTCGTGCATGTGCACCTTGGGCTTTTGTTTGTAATTTTTAACTCCTAGGAATCTAAAATTGAAAGTTCAGCTATGAAGTTTTGAGTTATGTTTGGTGGTGTTTTACCGTCTAATTACTTTTTTTTTTTTTGGGGTCACTAACATGATTTTTCAGGGCTATTATAGTTTCAGCCAGAAGTTGAAATTTATTGTTCGCATACCCTTTGCCATTACAGCTTATGGTATGCATTTTGGTGTTTAGAGTTTTTTAACATTCAGATGATACTTAATATGTGAAGTCAATTTTATATGTAGGGGGAAGCACATGAATGTTTTTATATTTATAACAGTGGGGATTTTTTATATTATTTGAGCTGTTAATTATAATGTTAATATTCTTAAGTTAATGTCAGGAACTGCTGCAATGCTACTTGTTATAGTCTGGAAACCTTACACCGGTTTTCTGTCAATTTCTGCAATATTGAGGTATATTCATCATTTTTTTGGGATAGATTAAATTGAATTAAGAAATGGAATATCAGCAAGAGTATGCGGCTTCTAAATATAAAGGACTACATCCTTAATCTGAATCTTCTTATCAATAAAAGATGCTAATGTCATTTGATTGAGGATTAAATGCTATAATTTTGTACCATATTTTATTGGAGTGAGTTCACAATGACATGAATTACAAGAAGCTTTTTTGTATGTGTGGTTGAGGATTAAGAGTGGTTTTACTAGTAGATAGTGATGTTCAATATATTGTGATTTACGGAGTTTCTCCCTGCAGTGTATACACTTAGTAGGAGATGAAGAGTTTGGTAGACATTTGACAGTATATAGGGTGTTTTTATCCCCCTCTCCCCTTCCTCTTGTCTAGGAGTGTTAACAGTTATACTTATGGCATGGCCATAATCTAATGAAATTTTTTATTTGACAGCTTGCAATAAATTTCTTATCTAAGAGATTATTTTATTATAATTTATTTTCAAAATGTTATAGCTCTACTATGCTTATAATCTCCCAGGGTTTGTTTGGTCATTCTCAAATGATGCAATTGCACATCTTCGAGTTCTTGTTCCATGTGTGGCATATTTTATTCCCTCTGCTATTTTCTTAAGTTCTAGACTGGAAATTAGTTGTTGATTTTTTTACTCTACCAAGATGTTTTTGTCTTATTTTGGTTGCTTCAAAATTATGCAGGATTATTATGGTAGTTGAAGCAGTATGTGCTGGATGCTTTATGAGTCTTTACATTGGTAAGTTTTGCACAAATTTATTTATTTATTTATTTTGTTTCAAAAAATTATATGAAAAATTCAAACAATTTTAAGATCATTTAAAGGGTTGCATGCTAGGAAGCACGGACACTCCAAAAAACAGGGAGTGTCGTGTCTGACACTCACACGCCGATATGGTGTCCGACACACGGTCAACATTCCCGACACGTTGACCATTTTGACACGCAAATTTGACCCTGTCCAACACGGTCAAATGACATTTTTGTACAAATATTATATTTTTTTAAATTTTTTTAAAAAAAAATTAAAATATATTAATAAAGCTTCCACCCGATCATATCAATTTTTTCTCTCCCTTTTTTCCCCTTAAGTAGATAATAGATCATCTCAGCACCATCGTTGTCATTCCTGTTACGCTCTTGTTGTGTCTCCTTCTTTCTGATCTCTCTCTCTAATATGATATGATCTCTCTCTCATCCCAGTTTCTGTTTTTTTATTAAAGCTTCCACATTTATAACGTTTGATTGTGTTCTTGATGTTCTTTTATTTTTGTAGAATATTCTAGAGTCTTTTACTTGTTTCTAGCTACTAGTATCTTTGAATAGTTTGATGCCTCTTCGGTTACTGTGTATTTTATTTATTGCTTCATCTCCTTAACTACCTTGTAATATGTATAAATAGAACCCTTTGGGGTGTCAATCAATATATGAAAAAAATACATTTCAGTCTTATATTACAATATGGTATCAAGAGCAGGTTATCCTGTGGTCTTTTTGTAAACCTCTGTCGTCTTTTTTCCATTTTTTTTCACTGTTTCGCTTTTACAATTCAGAAACCATATCTGGACCCCTCCAATCACGAAACCAAGACCACCACTGAACTCAGAAGCCATTTCCGAGTCGACCCACGTCAGCCCCGTCGCCGGACCGTCAGCCCCGTCGCCGGACCGTCAGCCATGCACCGCCACCACAGATCTGCCTCTCCGGCGCGTGTGAGCCACGCGCCACCCTGCTGGCTTCCGTTTGTCACGCGGCTTCCACAGAACAGCTCGCCTGGCTTCCCTCTTCCTGTTCTGAGGGTTTAAATCACGATTGGATCACTTTTCTTGCTAAGTCCAGTCGTTTCCTCTTCGTTATCAAAGACAATAGGCGTGACCTGTTGCTCTCCTTCTTTTTAGAACGATGGAAGTTGGAAATAATGAGGATGAGAATAAGCATTCTGAAAAATTATCCGGTAATGTTTCCGGTGTCTCTCCTCTTTCCTGTTCTTCGTCTTCTGGAGACAACCCAGCTATATAGATTACTAACCACCGTTTAAACGGTAAGAATTATGTGCAATGGCATCAATCTGTCAAGTTGTTTATCCAAGCAAAAGGGAAAATGGGGTATCTTGATGGAAAAAAGGAAAAACCCGAAGCTGATGATCCTGATTATGATAAATGGATGACTGAAAATGCCTTGGTCATGACCTGGTTGACTAACTCCATGGATCCTGATATCAGTCAAACTTATTTGTTTCTTGATACGGCTCAGGAAATTTGGGATGCCGTTAAAGAATATTATTCTGACCTAGGCAATGCTTCTCAAGCTTTTGAACTCAACACCAAGGTAAGAGAGTTACATCAAGAGGGGATGTCTGTTACTGAATACTTTCTTGCTTTAAAAACTTTGTGGCAGGAGTTAGATCTTTATGATGCAGCAGATCTTCAAGGTTTAGAAGCTAATGCAAGGTTTAAGAGTTATTTAGAGAAAAGATGTCTCTATGATTTTCTTGCTGGCCTTAATCGTGATCTTGATGATGTTCGTGGAAGGATATTGGGGCAGAACCCGTTACCTTCCATTGCAGCTGCTTTTTCTATGGTACGACGGGAGGAACTTCGCCGAAAGGTAATGTTGGGAGACAAGAACTCTAAATCCTCCGATGTTTCTGCCCTAGTAGCAAAACATACTCCTCGTCCCCCTAGTGATGCAAAACGTTCTGACCGATGGTGTTCTCATTGTAATAAGAGTGGTCACACTCGCGAAAAATGTTGGGAAATTCATGGAAAACCACCAAACTGGAAAACAAAGGGGCTGAACAAGAGTCGTGCTTATCAAATCTCTTCTGATGATAAGGGTGAGGAGTCTCGTGCCTCTCCAAACTCCGATGGTGTATTCATCCCGAAAGCTCAGTATGAGCAATTCCAGAAGGTGATGTCTCAATCTGCTGAGGCAACTAGTCATGTTGCTCAACAAGGTATGGCATTTCATGTTGATCGTAGTAGTCATTGGATTCTTGATTCAGGAGCCTCTGATCATATGACAGGTAATGCATCCTTGTTTTGTTCTTATACCCCTTATTATCACCCCTCACGAATAAGGACTGCTGATGGTAGTTTCTCTAATATTGCGGGAAAGGGATCCATTAAGCTCTCTGATGAAGTCTGTCCTTCATGTCCCTTCTCTTACTTGTAACCTTATCTCTATTAGTAAACTTTCCTCTGAATTGCATTGTGTTGCTAAATTCTCTGCCAAAACCTGTGTTTTTCAGGAACAGGATTTGGGGTTGATGATTGGCAGTGCTAGAGAGGAAGAAGGACTTTACTATTTTGAAGAAGATTCTCATGAAAAGAGAATTTTTGCAAATCACTCTTTATGTTTATCAGACGATTGTAATGATGTTTTGTTGTGGCATCGTCGTTTAGGACACCCAAATTTCTTTTATCTTCAAAAGTTGTTTCTAAACTTATTTATCAATAAAAAACCAAGTTCCTTTTTTTGTGATGATTGTCAGTTTGCAAAACACTCGTGTTTCTTATTCCCTCAGAGATTATAATGTTTCGTCTCCATTTACATTGATCCATAGTGATATTTGGGGGCCAGCTCGTGAAAAAAATATATCTGGAACTCGTTGGTTTATTACTTTCATTGATGATCATTCTAGAGTATGCTGGGTATATCTTCTAAAGGATAAGTCTGAAGTTGCAGCCACTTTTAAAAACTTTCATGCTATGGTACGAACTCAATTCCAGACCTCTATCCAAATCCTGCAAACTGACAACGGTACTGAATATTTTAATTCTGTTCTTGGGGATTACCTAACCAAGCAAGGTATTATCCATCAAAGTTCTTGTCCTAACACCCCTCAACAAAATGGGGTGGCCGAAAGAAAAAATAGACATCTCATTGAAGTTACTAGAGCCCTCTTGTTTACGATGCATGTCCCTAAATACCTATGGGGGGAGGCTGTATTGACTGCCTCATACCTCATCAATCGGATGCCCTCTCGTGTCCTGAATTTTCATTCTCCCATATCTTGCCTTACCCGTTTTTTCCCCTCCTTTCGGGCTTTCTCTTCCCTTCCTCCAAAGTTGTTTGGCTGTGTGGCTTTTGTTCACATTCCTCCACATCAAAGGTCAAAACTTGATCCTAAGTCTGTTAGATGTGTCTTCATAGGATATCCTCCTAATCAAAAAGGGTACAAATGCTACTCACCTTCTCTTCGAAGGTCTTTGTTTCTATGGATGTTACCTTTTATGAAACACAATCATTTTTTCCTTCGACTTCTCTTCAAGGGGAGTCTATTGGTGTAAATGAAGACAAGTCTTGGATTCCAAATAATTCTACTGTCTTACCTTTACCCTTGGAAACAAGTGTTGTTTCTTTAACTATGGAGACAGGGGGAGTTAATGTACAGGAGAAAAGGACAACAACTGTACCAGAGACTGGAGATCCTCCCGGTAAATGGGGAAAATTCTACAGCAGGCGTAAATCTCCTCAAGATCCTCTAGACTGCCAGAATTCTGACCCGAGTCCTAGTTCCAGCAATCCACTTGAGAACACCGGTACATCTGACCTAGATATGCCCATTGCCCTTCGAAAAGGTACTAGATCTTGCACTGCTCATCCTATTTCTCATCACATTTCATATGAAAAGTTATCTCTAGGTTTTCGTGCTTTCAACACTATATTAGAGAGTACAAAAATACCAAAAAATATCCAAGAGGCACTTAATGACCCTAAATGGAGGGATGCGGTTTTTGAAGAAATGGATGCACTTAAGAAAAATGGAACTTGGGAATCCGTGGCACTTCCCAGAGGAAAGAAAACTGTAGGTTGCAAATGGGTGTTCACAATAAAATTTAATGCAGATAACAACATCAACAAATATAAGGCTAGATTGGTTGCCAAAGGATTTACTCAGACTTATGGGATAGACTATCAGGAGACGTTTGCTCCCGTTGCCAAACATAACTCTATCCGAGTCCTACTATCACTTGCTGCCAACCTTGATTGGCCCTTGCATCAATTGGACGTAAAGAATGCCTTCTTAAATGGGGACTTACACGAGGAAGTTTACATGGATCCACTGTTAGAATATTAGATATGATATGATTAGATTTGATTAGATATGATTGGATTCTGTCTTATCCGTAAATAGTCTGACTGTATTCTGATTGTATTAGGATTAGGTTTGGATTAGGTTTGGGCCTTACACTTAAGCCCATTAGGATCTCTATATATTGTAACTCCCTGACACAGATCAATACATAACGTATTCTTTTACATTTAACTTGGTATCAGAGCTTTTCGCTCTGGGGATCCGCTTCCGCTAAAACCCTAAGCCCACTGCTTAGGTGTTCTCTTCTACTTTACCGTGCATTCTTCCGGCGAGTTTCTCTCTAAGCCGTGTGTCTCTCCGGCTTGTTTCTTCAACTGTCAGAACCACTTCCCACCGCCAACAACCGCCGCTCGTCACTGTTCAGGCCACCGGAACCACTTCCGGCCGCCAACAACCGCCGCTCGTCACTGTTCCGGCCACCAGAGCACTGTTCCGGCGAGTTTTCAGCCCAGACTACCTGCGATCAGGACCGTCTCATCCCGGCGACCAGTTCTGTGGTGGTCCGACCACCGTCGCGTCATCAATGCGCCTCCACGCGCCGTTCTTCTCCTCTGCGCGTGGTGCTCACGCGCCACCTTCAACCGGCGCGTGTGCACTGTTCCGGTGGATTTTTCCGGCCGTTCTTGGACAGAACTTCTCGCCTTCTTCTCCTCTTTCTGGATCTGTGCTTGGTTCTTTGTGGGTCTCACTTTAGACGCGTGGTTCTCCTTGATTGGATATCGTTTGCCTTCGTTTACGGCTTTTATATTCTGTTTTTAAATGGCAGCAGCGTCCACTGATCTCTCGGAGGTTAACTCTCCTTGTCCTCCTGTCAAAACTTCCTCAGGAATCATCTCTACTAATATTGGGCTCATTACATCTTCCAAACTGAAGGATTCTACCTCTCTTGCTGCGAATATAGCTCAGTCAGACAATGCATCATTTGGTTCAGTTTCTCTCTCACTTGCGGACTATGCTGCACTCCAAACTCTTCTCAAGAAAGCTTCTCCTCAGTCTCAACCATATACTGGTAATCCCGTTGCTTGTGTTTCTCATTCTACATCACTTGGCACTTGGATATTTGACTCAGGTGCTACCGATCATCTCTGTGGTAA